AGGGGTTCGTGATGCCTGTCAGGGGATGTGGATCGCTGTTTTCGAAGCATGTAAGCCTAGGGCCTTATTTTCGATGTGTTCTGATTTAACGGGGGCAAGAATCTTTGTTTTAAATTATGATCAGGCTTCTTCTGGCCGACGACAGAACTTTACAAGTACAATAAAGTCATTTTCTCCTGTCTCTTTTTTTCCCGACCACACGGACTGAGTGTTCCCTTGCGAGCGGACGGCGAGGCGACGGAAGTGCCTGGTACTCGTTTCGGCGCTGGCTCAAACCAGACGGCTGCAGGTCCCTCCCAGGGAATCTGAATAAAACATTAACAGCGAGACAACCGTCACCCGCGCCAGCCCCGGCCCCGCGCTTCGGGCCCCGGCGTCGCCCTGCCGCGGCTCTGCTGGAAAAACCACTCCCACCGCGGCAAACCGATCCACATATCACGTGACGCCTCGCCTTCAGCGCAACTCGCAATTCTTATTATATTTTCGCCGACAAACCGCAGGCGCCACGAAAAACTAATTACGCCGCTCTTTTCGGCCGCAAGGCGTTGACTTTGGTAATTAGCTTGTCATTTTAATTCGCAACAATAAACGCCAGACCAACCTGCTGATGCGGCCACAGCAGCGCGGCGCCGCAGCAGCGCAGTGCCATTAGCATAAATTCACACTTTCGAGACGGCAAACGTGGTGGCCCGGTGGCCGCGTCGTCGGTTTGGTCCGTTTTCTCTTCTTTTCCAGACCGGCTTTGGGGGTGCCTCGAGGCGCGTCCCCGCGAACACAGCGCGCCGCTGCGCACCGACTGCGTGTCCGGTCGGTCGAGACGCGGACGGTGCGGACCTCGGCGCGGACCGGGACGCAGCTGCTCTCCTTTTTACAGCCACTCAGCCGGCCCAGTCCATCTGGCTGCGGGGCCTCGGGGCCGCGGCCCTGCGCTCACCTCACCGGAACGAGGCTGTCACGCCGCGGGGGACGCCTTCAAGAGCCCCGGCAACTCGGAGCCGCGCGGAGCACCCACCGGTATTTCCGAATGCAGCTGTCCTTAACTCGCGTCAAATTACGCCCTGCGAGATTTACAGTGCTGCTCGCGGAATATCGCGCGGAAGGTGCCGTAAATCCCCGCCGTTTCACAGTGCAGCGGCGCCACCCTGCCACTAGGGCGTCGCTACGTCGCTACCCCGAAACAGTCCGGCCGACTAACCCATTTCGAGTCGAGGGTGTTTGCTCGGCGCGCCCGGCCGGCCGAATCCGAACGGTGTGCCCATCAGTCCGTCTCCGTCGCAGCCCTGCACTGTGTGTGCGACAGAGACAGCGAAGGAACGAAACGGTCCGAATCGCTGTGCTGGAGGCTTGGGGCGGTCGTCCTAGGGCACACGATTCAGCGCCGCGCTGCCACGCGGATAGCCGTCTCTCTCCAGACGTCACACCCTGCCAAAAGGCCTCTCCACAAAAAAAACCTCACCGGCCTTGCGGTAACAGTGCTCCGCGGGAGTAGTCAAAATGCGGGCCGAGCACGCCTTGCTGGAGCTCGGCGCTGGAGGGGTGCCTGGAGATACGCCGCAGGTAGGCTGGGTAGTAAAGGGACTCCTTCAAAACGCGGCGCTGAAGAAGGCTCCCTCCAGGCCCTGGACGCTCCAACCTGCCTCCCCCGCACGCGCGCCCGCAGGCCGCAGCCCGCCAGCGTAGGGTGGCGTAGGGCGGCCTCCCCACAGCGCCACGGCGCCGTCAGCCTCCAGCACCCAGCCCGGGGCAAGTTTAATAGTCATCTTAAACAGACTGCAGTGCAGAGCACTGCGCCATCACCTGCGTTTTATTCTCCTCTGAGGGGCAGAGGGAGGGAGAGGAACCGGCGACAGAAACACAGCAGCGACAGCGAGTTTTAAACAGCACGCGCGGTATCACCGGCTGCACTCGCGCCTCACAGTCACTCAAAACTTCCCTGCAAAAAACTTTACTAATCCGGTATATTTTTGTTGCAGCTCGCGGGGTGGACCGCGGGGTGTACCTGGGCCGTTATGGAAGACGACCTGCCTCTGTCGCACTAGGTGTGCGAGAGAGGCAGGGCGACAAGAACTGTTTGAAAGCAGTCTTTTACTGACGAAGACGCGTCTCAGAGGGCAACATTGTCATCAACAGGAAGAGGAATAAGTGTGCCCTGCGGGATTAAAGAGGGGCAATAAAACTGGTGGGCCCCGCGGGGGCTGCCAGCCCTGCCAGGGGCGGCCGTGCTCGTCTGCCAGCTCTGCCAGGGCGCCCGGGCGCGTATCGCACGCAGGTTTAACGACGCGTTCCAGTTCATACCCCTGGCGATGAGAGCCGGGAGCGCGGTGCACTGTAACGAATCTCCATGGCAATTCATGGAAATTCGCTGAGTCCGTCATGGCAGCGTGCATGCACGCGGGAAGCCCACCGGGGGGTCTTACCGGAATATTCATGGGTGACTCTGACTTGGCACGTCGGCGATTTCGCACTGCTGGGTGCCATCTGGCGATGGTTCACCCCCCACTGGTAGCTTTTTCGGCGCGCTCCACGAGCAAAATTGTAAACAGAAACTTAAAAACAGGCTACGTATTTTCTACGCGGATACCTGCAACATTGTATGCCAAGAGTTTCTGCGTTTTCAAACAGCACGCATATTTAATTTTAAACAAAGCTACTAAGTTCTGTACGAGCGCTCTCCAAACTCTTTATAACACGCCGCGGGCTCAGAGGGTTCACTGGTAAAACTAAGGCGTAGTATTACGCCTTTCCTCAAGCGTAAAATCTTGAAGCGTACTTCTGCGCTTGACTTCAAGCGTAAAGAAGAGCTACGCTTGAAGCCAAGCGCACTCAAGCCAGGTCAGAAATTCTTACGCCCTGCTTCAAGCGTAAAGTCAGTACGCTCAATTTCAAGCGTAAAGAAAACCTATGCTCAATTTTACAAGCACAGGAGAATGCGCACATTCATCGTGTGAAACCAGCTTAATTTAATTTCAGATAATATCTTACATGAGCTTCATGCATCCTTCATACAATAAGTGAACTTTCAAAGAAAATTACAAAATGTATGAAAAAGATGTTTGGGGGTCCAAGTCCTATAGGCCTTTAGGACTCCGGAACACTCTAAAAGTGTTTACACCTGGCCCAGTTCCGGCATTCACTCTTGAGACACTTACCTTGTAGTGCTATCCATTGATTGTTCCTGCTGGTTTGGTTTTAATGTTTATGATTTATTTCTTAGTCTCAGACCGCTGGCGCTGGTTTTCATGTTTCCTGATGACATGCTGAAGGCCTAGCCCCACAGACAGAGTACATAACCTCTTGGTGCTGATAGGACAGTTCGATTTTACTCTACTTTCAAGTTTGTGAGTATGCTGTGACTGTGAGCATAAAGATTTCTTCGGGCGACACACTGGGCACAACTTCAAAATGCTTGACATGGTGCAAGTGATGAAACTGATCCGTTTGAAATAAAGTTTGTCAACACAGACACACATCTTGACTATTCACCCTCAGTCTCGAGTGCAAATAAGATATTTTTTGCTATTCACACCCCGGAGTGTGAAAAGCAACAAGTAACTTATTTGCACTCGAGACTGAGGGTGAATAGTCAAGATGTGTGTTTGTGTTGACAAACTTCATTTCAAACGGATCAGTTTCATCACTTGCACCATGTCAAGCATTTTGAAGTTGTGCCCAGTGTGTCGCCCGAAGAAATCTTTATGCTCACAGTCACAGCATACTCACAAACTTGAAAGTAGAGTAAAATCGAACTGTCCTATCAGCACCAAGAGGTTATGTACTCTGTCTGTGGGGCTAGGCCTTCAGCATGTCATCAGGAAACATGAAAACCAGCGCCAGCGGTCTGAGACTAAGAAATAAATCATAAACATTAAAACCAAACCAGCAGGAACAATCAATGGATAGCACTACAAGGTAAGTGTCTCAAGAGTGAATGCCGGAACTGGGCCAGGTGTAAACACTTTTAGAGTGTTCCGGAGTCCTAAAGGCCTATAGGACTTGGACCCCCAAACATCTTTTTCATAATTTTCTTTGAAAGTTCATTTATTGTATGAAGGATGCATGAAGCTAATGTAAGACATTATCTGAAATTAAATTAAGCTGGTTTCACACGATGAATGCGCGCATTCTCCTGTGCTTGTAAAATTGAGCATAGGTTTTCTTTACGCTTGAAATTGAGCGTACTGACTTTACGCTTGAAGCAGGGCGTAAGAATTTCTGACCTGGCTTGTGTGCGCTTGGCTTCAAGCGTACAAACTCTACGCTTGAAGCAGGGCGTTCCAGCCTTGAGTACGCTTCAAAGAGGCGTAATACTACGCTTTAGTTTTACCAGTGTTCGGTAGCTCTGCAACCACGTAGACACTAAGCCGTCTACGGCGGGGATCGAACACGAGCAAGAACAACGAAACAGCGACCGCCACGAAGCGCGCGCTGTTCGAACTCGGACGAAAAATGAAATGAAAAGAGAAATGCACACCACCCTGTTGAATTAGCCACGCGGTTTTCTCTATCGGGCCAGCACGGAGAGCCAAGCAATCTCTGTAATTGGGCGAGGGGGAAGGGGGAGGGGGAGTCTTGTGGCCCCTCGATATCCCTCCAATATTCACGAGAGCCAGAAATGCAAACTTGTTTCCTTTTTTAACGCCCCGCCCTGGGAAAACAGACCGGCCCTGGTTCTGCCACCCATTCTGTGAGATATGGCGTCATCCACCCCGGTGAATATTGGTCACCGAGGAGGACTGCAATGGGTGGGGGGCCCGCGTGCCAGAGCAAAATGCGTTCCTCTCTGATCATCTCCGCCCTGTTCTTGGTTGAGCCCTCGCACCCCTTGCTGGGCAGGGCGATACATCCGACGGGCCGTGGAACCGCAGCGCAAGAACGGGGGTGCATGAATCATACATTGGCACGCGGCCCGACACGAGAGGAGTGGAAGCGTTTAAGGCGCCCTTATTCTTAGGGCACCCCGCCTTCGGCCCATACCCACAAGGAAAACGAAAAACACTCACCTTGTAGATGTTGAAGTACAGGACGATCATGATCATACAGGGAATGTAAAACGATGAAAGTGATGAATAAATAACAAAGTCTGTGTTGTAGAAAATGCAGAGATCCGGACTCCGATCGGGCGTGTTGTTGAGGCCCAGCACGATGGGCGTGCCGATGGCGCAAGACACCAGCCACACCACCACGATGGTGCACCACACACGTCTGTTGTTCTTGTGCTTGGCATATTTGATTGGCTGCGTCACAGCAATATATCTGCAAAAACAAGACAAAACGAGGAAATTAGGAGAAATTGTCACGGCTTGTCGGCCTCCCACGGGCAGGGTCACTTGTCATGTCAGACATGCCCGCTCCGGCGGGGAGGGGCGCGTGACCAGTGGAGCAGCGGAGCGGCGGACTGCGCTGATCGAATGGGGAACGAGGCGAGAGTGACCTATACGATACGCGCCAGCGATCAAAGCCCCCTCCTCCTCTCCCGCTGCACTATCTTGGCCGTGCAGGGCAGTCCGGCCACACTGCGGCTGGGCCGAGCCGAGCCACCCTGGTTCCAGCGGCGGCACCACCGCCCTCAACAAATTGGGTTTACTCATCTGCAGCAGGCGGTGCGGCGCCGCCACTGTCAGACAGCCTGCGAGTCTGTCTCTGTCTCGCGCGCGTCAGGGAAGGTGGTGCCATTTGGCCGCGCAGACACACGCTGTCGTGTACCAACACTCCCAACACCTGGAACTCTGTCTCCGGCCTCGCATGTGCTCGGAAAACTGCAAAAGGTTTTCTGCGTGCGGTGCTGTGCGAGCCACTCAGTTCCAAGGTTGCCGGATACACTGCGACAGCCTCCTCGGCTGCTGAGCGTATTAGTGGCGACGCGGCCAGGACCTCAGCCAGGGCCTCGGCCAGGCCGCCGCTGTCCCCAGCCGTGAATATTTGGGCCGGGGAACGATTCCAGCCGGCAAAGTTTGGCCAAACGACGCTACTTTGATATGAGAAAGGCAGCGGTCCCATAAAGTAGCGACTAGCCGCAGTGCGCACCCCTCCCCCACTTCAGCCGTCTAGCCTCCCCTTTCCCAACACACACAAAGGCACGCGCGGCCAGCCCGTTCTCCACTCGCGGTCCTCGCGCAGGGACAGTTTTAACGCAAAATTATGGAATCGTTAAGAATTTTTTTTCCTGCCTGTTTGGTAAAACGCCAGGCGCCGGCACCATTAGATCGCTGGGCCAGACCTAGCTGATAACCTTCCAGTGTCCTAGAGGACTCGTCCTTCAGGATAGGCCCTGCCCTCCTGCAGCAGGGCAGGGCGTTGCCAGGGCTAGGGGGACCCAGGCATCCCTGGCACTTGCACACTAAATTGAGTACCCCACCCCTCTGGTGTGTGACGTGCAGGGTGAAATGACCCACACTGTGAACAAAATTTATAAAGGTCTGGATCCGTTAAATTGGATGCTAGCCTTCATTGATTAATTTCGTCATTAAATAGCGCGTCATTTGACGAGGCAAGTGCATAATATTTTTTGAAGTTAGTCGAACAGAGGTCACCGTTTGGTTACAGAGGGGACCGTGTCTAGGCCTGGCGCGGTTGCCAATGCATAGTGACCCGCACCTTAGGGGCTGCGGCGCCGTCCTCCTTGCTGCAAGGGGGACTCATTTCAAAGGCTTCGCCACTTTTGATGTGCTCCGGCAGAGCAACGTGCTGACGCAGCAATGATGCTCGTCACGGCCGGGCGGGCCGCGGCTCCGGGCTGCAGACTCCGGGTCTGGCTGCACGGGGCCCACGGGGCCCATGGCGCGCGTACAATGTACGGTGTCGCAGCGCGTAAGCAGCGCGGTTGCGGTTCCACAAATTAAAACGCCAGCGTCACAGGCACAAAGGACCGCGGGAGCCGCGCCACACAAACCAACGCCGGACTTTTCATTAATCTCGACTGACAAATTAAGCCATTTGCGTTTACGGCTAATGTCACGGGTTCAACTAGGGGGCGCTCCGACCAAACACACGCGCCGCACCCACCTGCCTCATTCACTACTTGAGGTGCCTGGGCGGAAACCAGCAAAGCGCCACCGGGCCTCGAATGTCACACAGTGCGTGGCAAGGCCCAAACGGCCACCTCCCCCTTTGGACACACAAACACACCACACTTCTATTCCACACACACAGGCCTCCAAAAAAAGGCAAGCGCCATGCAGCAAACCTGCTGCGGCGGGCCCATTTTCACGGCGATGGAACCAACGTCCGCTCAACACACACACACACACACACACACCGCACACATAATGTTGGCGCTGATGGCGACCGTCCCTGCATAAAACATTGAATCGGAAATGCATTGGTAGCACCGCGTTACAATATATGAGGTCCGCGGCGTGGGTGGTGATCGGTACCGCGGGAAAAATGAACGCGGCGACGGTCAATCGGTGCAGAGGGGAGGGGAAATGGGTGGAGGGGGTAAAAAGGAGGGTAGGGGTGAACGGTAGGTGCTTTACGGGGCGTTAATGCGCCCGCCCAGCCGTCACCACCGTATTACGGCATCGTTTGCAGCGCCGTAACGCGAGTCGGACACGGATCACGCCCTCACTACATACAACCAACCAGATTGTAAAAATAACATTTTGGCTGTCGGAGGCCGGGCTAGGCAGGCCAAAGCCCGCTCCCTGAGGTCAGCTTGTTGTTGGTAGGGTCGTGGGCCGTCGTGGGCCCTGCCTCCGCGGGGCGCCTCTGAAATTCCGTTTCACGGATTCACCGTAATTTCCTCCTAATGCGGTGAATAATTCACCGCGCACTAGGCCGCCCTTTTCTCCGGGGCGCCGCTTCTCTCTCCCACGCTTTCTTTTTGGCTTTCTCCCACTCTCTTCCCTTTCGCTCTTGAACTGGTCGGCCGCCGACTGGTCGAGACCACCACGCGGCCGTGCCGGCTAGTCCCGGCAGCCCGGCGTGGGCGGATCAGGGAAAAAGCCGATGCGAGCTTACATCACATAGACCATCCCCCGTACGTCGGCCACCTGGCAGGCAGCCTGGCTGCGCGGGGCTGCTGCCTTGTTGCAATCACCGCGCCGACCTAACTCAGAGAGGCACTCCACGGCACGGGGCGAGCATTAAATGCAGATAATGCCCTGCCACGCGCGCGCACGAGATAGCAATGCGACACGTCACGCGTAACCTGGCTCCGGGGAGACGTGCGTTGGTAGCAGGAGCTCCCCAGCGCCGTGCCACTTTGCCACCGCACACGACACAATCTCTCTTCCTCACACACACACACACACACACACACACACACACACACACACACACACACACACACACACACACACTGACTTCCCTGAGCACGCGAGTATATTACATTTTTTGTTCGTTGAATCAACCTCCCCCGGCGGGACGCCTAAAATATGCCCACGTGTCCGCAGTCGTGGGACGTGGCGGGTAACCATGGTTACCATGGCAACCCGGGTAGCCAGGGAGATCGCGCCGCAATGGGATTGCCGCGTCACCTTCCCCTTTCCTTTCTCAACGTTATGAAACATTTCTTTGTCGCGCGTGCCGCTGCAGCCAACGAGAAATCTCGTAACCATCTCCCGCTATTTGGCTCGGGACGGCTGCAAATCGCGCCTGCCATGGCTTCTCGCAGACGGCAAACAAATACCGAACCTCAGCAAGGGACAAACAAAGGTCACCTTGAGCTCCTGACGTCGGAAAGTGAGATAAAACCGTTTTCAAATGGCCATTATCCATTCATTCCCGAAATGATGATATCAATCTGTACCTTCTTTGGGACCTTTTTGGGACTCTTTGGGATCCTACGGGGTCGGCCGGAAGTCCTTTTCGGGGCCTGCGGGTCGTTGGGGTGGGGCGGGGCTTCGGCTTGGCGGGTTTCGCGGCGTGCCGCACATCTGTCAACGTCTGCTCCGCGCGTCGCTGCGTGGCTCGCACGGCGACCACTAATGTGAAGGATCAGCGTGATCCGGTTCGGAACTCCACAAAGCCGGCTGCTTGCCGTCTCGTTGCGACCCAACACACCCCGAAAGCCCGCCACCGCCCCCCGTTTGACTGCCCTCAATGCCCCTAAACGCCAAAAACATTTTCTACTGGGGACGGCACGAACAGATGGACATCATTTTTGAGCCTATCAGTGACATTAAGTAGGCATTTTTGCAGCAGTGGCTTCTTTTGCCACGCGTTTAGAAATAAGCCATGGAAAGTTTCTGACACTGCTCGTAAGTGTGATTTCAGAAATATAGAAGAAGAAGTTCCCTTGTAAACTTGCAGAACATATTTGGCGAGGTTTCCTCGGCTCTTACCTGTCTATACTAATGGCGACCAAATTGAAAATGGAAGAAGTGCTACACGTGACGTCCATGGCTATATAGAAGTCACAGACGAATCCTGGAAGACTCCACGTCCCGTTCACCTGGAAGCAAAACAAGAGAAACCTTTAGTCATAGTAATCAAACGCGTTGGTTTCCTTCAAGTCCATCACTTCCCAGTCTGATCGAGTCAGCTGGGGGAACCACGGGGAGCCACGATAGCACCACGACAGCATTGAATAGGTCAAGTTGACCCCCGAGCCAGCCGCCTCGCGGAATCGAATTACCCCGAAAGTTACAGTCTCTAAGAGGCCCTACTTTCGCCGCCTCGGCCCTTGGACTGGGGAAAAGGGGAGGGGGATATGATAATCAGACAGGCAGTGTGTTGATTTTGATCCCGTCTCGCCGCGGGGTCCACACGGCAAGTGCGTCCGTATAGAGGCCGATCGGAGAAACGGCGGCGCTAAACCGCGGAGGGAATTTTCCATAAAGTGGAGAGCCAACTCGTCGTGCCCTGTTTGACTTCGGGCAGCGCTCATAGAAAAGCACAACTCCGCTTTCGGTTCGGAGCACTGCCTTACTGGTGTTGCTGCTACTGTGTGTGTGAACAAGGCGACCTGCAAAGAAAGTTGCGCAACTTGCTTTGGCTTCAGTTACTCAAGGACCATCGTCGAGATGGCGGTGACCGTGGCGTAGCGAAGTCTCATTACTGCTCAATGGCAGAAAAAAAGAGGTAGGAAAAAATCAGGCCTCTCTTAATTCAATCGGTAATTAAATCCCCAGTGGTTATCAAAGTTGGCTATAATGAGCCGTGAGGTGTGAAATTAAGCGCTCCTGCCCCGGCCCTCTCTAGCCTAGCTAACCCCACTTGTTGCTCTGGGATCGACCTGCTGCTGAAAGGTGAGGCAAATGTTGGGAAAGAGAGAGAAAATTGCCACCATCGCATGGCGAGTTACACGAGGACCGGCGTCAAAGACACGCACACGCACACAAAATAAAAAAGTGATAAAAATAGAAGCAAACACTAAAGAAGAAAGCACTGCTACTACTATTGCCGCTGCTACGTTCTGGGAGCACCATGATGCGATGTTCCAGCAGCCTCTGTAGTGTTACGACAAAAAAGGGGCAGGAAAAACTCTTCAGAGCCATGTGGTATTGATCCTGGCTCGTGCTACGAGAGCGCCAAACGCGTTGTTGGTTCCAGGGTGCGGTTGCCTTGCAGCGTTTAGATGCTGCTTCCTTCATGCAGCCAAGACGTTCAATGCGGTCTCTCCGCTTTAGACTCGGACACCGCAGCAAGCTTGATGCGCCTCCTTTGACAAGTCCTTGGAGGAGGAAGAGACGACAGCGTCGTGACTGAGACGAGAAAATGACGCAAAATAGGCGAAATGAAACGACGTCCATTAGCGAAAGGGTTGCGTCTAATCAGCAGGCTCGTTAAAGACGGTCGGCGCGCTAAAGACGAAACGAATTTCTTTTCCTCCTCTTTTTTACATTTTTAAAATGGGGCGTGGGTGATCCACCGTGCTCAGCGGACCGCAGCGGGCTGCACGGACGGACTTTGATACGGCCAACGTCCCGTGCAGCGAGTGCACCCGTAATTGGCATAACCCTTCCCGTGGAGATTGGCACGGGAAATGTCCAATTCGCTGCACAGACATGCTTAAACTAACTTTTCATTTACAATTTTAGAAACGTATGGAGACTTATGAAATTTATGTGTAGTTTCTCGGCGTGAAAATAAAGCCAAGATTCGAAAAAGCGCGCTACGAAAACGTTTCAAAGCGAGAGCAGCGTTTTCAGGGCGGGTAGCGTGCCAACACGCTGCACCGGTAGCCGCACGGACCACGGCCGTGGCAGTGTGCGTGGCCGGGGCGGCGCACGTCGCCCGGATAACAGTGTTACAGGAAGAAGTTGGCCGGCCCAGTGCTACCCTGCCTCGGGCCCCGCCCTTCCCTAGCGATCCGAACACCTGAGGCCTAATAGCGGGCGACGAGGACGAGGATGTTGTTGCTCTGCCCTGCCTGAGGCCCTGCCTGCCCTCCTCGGGGGTGCCCACCGTAGGCAGCCCTGTGCGCACCTGCTTGTCTGCCCTCCAATCTTGTTCGCACGTGCTTGGCCCCGGCCATTGGCATGCTGACAAAGAAAAAAAAAATAAAAAAAACGTGTTAAAGGGTTTTACCACCTGTTAAATTGAGACCGATCGCTGTAACAGCAGCAATATCCTAGCAAACTCGAAAACGTGTGGTCCTTGTTCCTTGCTGAAACGACAAAAACTTGTTAAAGAAAAAGCGACACACTGTGATATAACAAAAACAATCGCGACCGGGAGTGGTCGAACAGAAACGAGGAAAAGCTGTGCCGAACCGCGAAATTCTCGGAACATGTTGTTTGTTTTCAACGTGAAATCCGATCCTTCCTGTAACCTCGCTGAACACGCGCCGTGGCCATGAACCTCTTCTCAGGGCGTGGACGCACAACAACACCCAACGGCGCGTCGCGTCATATCACGGTGAGAATGGCCTCCCCGCCCCGCCCCAGGCGACAGTCAGGTGCCAAGGAAATATTTGTGACGGATCATTGACTCCGTCTGGAACCTGAATGGCCCTTCTCGGCACGGCAGGCTGAACAATATTATTTTCCGGCGAAACGGAAGGGTAAGGGACCCAAAGAAAAGGGGATTTTTTCCGTGCACCGCAAGGCGGAAAAGGCACGCGTTTCCACGAAAGACACTTCACCGCCGCGCGTGTCAGGCCTTGCCCGTGATTACAGAGCTGCTCGCCTTGACTAAGGTTTCCGGTCTGCCTCACTCAGGGCGTCCATTAATTAACAGCACGCGAGGCAAACCCACCGCTCTGCTGCCTTTTAATGCGTCACATCTGCTGCACTGCAAAGGGGGCACTTCGATGAAATGCCGCGATGAAATGCCGCTTGCAGCCAATGAGCTTTTGTATCCGGAGGATGAGCACTTTGAGCCTAATTGGAAATAAACTCGAGTTAATCCTGCTGAGTACTCACATGATATAGTCACGGCAACGTCAAAAACGCGAGCAACGTTTCGGCTGTCGTTTAGCGTGTGCACCCTGAGCGAGACCCTGAGTGTCGCTGGCGGTCCCTCCATGCTCCGCGACACTCTCCACCCCGCAGGCACTCCCCGTATGTAAAAACTTGCAGCGCGCCTCCAAGTTGCGGTACGGCCATCCAACTTGGCGGAGGCGGGGGAAGGAACTGGCAGGCTCGCGGAGCGCGGGGGCTGGAGACTGGTCGCCTGTTATCGAGTGGGGGCGACGTGTGGTCACCCACAGCGAGAAATTTTTCCGGTTTCTTGATGCGCTCACCAGTCTCCTCACTCTGAAAACAATGCAGCACTGAACGTGGGACTCTGTTTTCAGCAGCGAGGCTTGAGCTGACGCGCATTCCGACTCGAAACGGACCGGTACCACGCCAGCACCGCCTCTGGCAGCGCACCGCTTCGGAAACGAGACGTAAAACAAACTTTATTTTCAACGAAACCGACGAGAACAAGAACGAGCCACAGTCGAAACAGCTGCGGAGTGAAGCCGAAGCCCCCTGAGCCGAACGGACACCTGCCGAAATGCGAGGCACCTCTGTCAGTGCATGGGCGGGGCGGCGAGGCGGTGAGGCACGGCACCACCACCAATCTGGCGCGCTCCTTTGAGCGGCCACTGCCGTCTCTCTGAGCCTCCCCCCACCCCTTCACCCGGCTTCATCAATAGCTCCACACACTGCGGGCACAATGTACGGGAAAAGACAGACCCGACATGTCGTCCCTCAGCCCCCATCTCTCCAAGGGCTGCTGCTGCTGAGGTCGCGGGCACACAAAGACTTCATTTCAGACTGACCTGGTGCGCCACGGCGCACGCCGCGCGCCACGCACGCCGAGGGCCTCGGCAGCAGGTCGAACCAAACACGGTGATTACCCCTGGGAATGGACTGGTGGCCGGCAGGGTGGGGGCGCGGCGGGGCGGGGAGCCAAGCTGGGCTGTCTGCCGTTAGGCTGCCGGGCTGTGGCTGTCAGAGGCCGGCCGGCCTCACCCCCACCCTTCACTTCTAATCCCCGCCAGCGTGTTGCGAACGCACTCGCGCGGGCTTTGCACAGACACGCGCGCTCTCTCGCTCACCCGCGTACAGACCAACAAACACTCTCTCTTACACACTTTTGCACACAGTCCACACACACGAACGCGCTCCGAGCTGCACTGGAGCAAATCGGTGAACTGCAGAACACATCTGCCACGTGGTGCACAAAGTGGCGGAGTTGCAGCCGAGGCAGTGAGGAGGGACGTAAACGTATCGGGTATTCTCGGACAACAGCGCGTACCGACAATGCCTGGACATCAACGGCGCACCGGACAGGTTTCGCCAAGCGGAAATGTGTTTTTCCATCCCTGACGCACTGGTAAAAGAAACATTCTTTGCCGCAAAAAACGTAGCGTCAAAAAATAATGATTCAATATTTTCTTTTTTAATGTTTTTTTTTTCAGCGTCCTGCTGGGTGTCGACTGCCCTCGACTTGCGTTGGCCCGTTCGGCAATGCTAGGCCATCCACCCTGACCTCCGTCAACCCAGCGGGGCCCCGCCTCCTCGCGGCCGTCAAGGGATTCCCATTGTGAAGCCTTGTTTCCTAAATTGACTCCGGGCCGTCGTGCTTGCGTTGGGCGGCGGGGCGAGGCAGGGCCGTGTTCACCTCGAGGGGAGGGCGGCCATGTCAGCGCGGGCACACAACGCATGGCGAGCGACGACACTCCGCAATCACAGGGCGGATTTAAAACTACAGCAGAGTGGTTCCCACAGTTAAAAGCGTGCGCGCGAACGCTACTGCTGCTCCCCGCGGACATCACTTAGCCCTGTCAGCCTGGCGCGCCGCGCCGCGCAGCTTTCCGGATTAAACGTATATGAAACCGCGGCGTGACGCGGGCTGTGCGCGGCCGGGCGGCCAGCACACAGTGCACACACTCACTCCGAAGGGTCGCTTGGTCTCTGTCGCACTCGCGGGGCGTTGCGCTGGCTGCGAGAGAGACGGAACAAGCTAATCACGCCGGGGCCTCATCCACCGCGCCACAAAGATGGCGCTGATCCAGCA